CCTCTTCCATACTTGCCCCGTCTCCATGCCCATGCTCTGAATTACTTGTGTCCACACTCTCAAGTTTCTCAATTAACCACGGAAATTATATGTATGCTAACTGCCACTAGTATTTTCACACTTGCGAGGTTACCCATAAATTTTTGATTCATGATCTCACTTATTTTTTCTCCAAGAAGCAGCTGGGCAACACAGTGATTAACTCTGGGTCTTATAATTAGTAATGAAGCCAAGTTGGCTTAAGGATCCTCACCTGTGACCATCTCTCTCTCTCCTGCTCTGGCCTGCCTGTGGCCTCAGACCCCAGGCCCCCATCTGTCACCCTGTAGGCCAGTTGTTGCCCTTGTGTTGTGCTTAAGTGGTACTATTACTTTGGGAATGTGGTATTACTCTGTTTTATCTTACAGAAATTTAGGTAAGAGGAATGGTATGGTTTTGTGACTATTTGTGGTAGCTCTTCAGTAGGAAAAGTCACTTAGAGCACCTTTTTTGTAGACCCCATGGAGAGAGCAGAGAGAAAAAAGGATTAGTTTTTGGATGCAATGATCTATTTGTGTAGTGGTTATGGTCAAGCATAACCTAACGCCATCATCACCTTCTCCTTCTGTGCCTGGCTACTTAAACCAGCCTGTATGTGAGTGTTAACCCAAAAGACTCCTTTAGATGTTGCTGAACTAGTTACTACAAAAAGTATTTCACTTTCAAAAACTCCCACATTTCAAGAACAGAGAAATTCAGCACAAAGGTAATTTTGAAGGTATGTATAGATGGAATTTGTTGAGTCGTCTATTCTGAATGCCAGCCACAAAGATTTCAGTAGAAAGTAGAAAGGCATTTTAAAAGGGTTACCTGGAAACTTAGGAAAGGAAATAGTGATGTTTTTATTATTTATTCAAGTTTAGAGGTGTGTATTGCAGTGTATGTTATTTTGTAGGATGGGAGCAGGAGTTTTATTCCAGAGAATTCTTAGTCTGTAGCAGAAATGATAAGCCCAGAAAGCGTGTGTTAGATTAGTTCGTCCACCACGAAGCCTGTAATTGAGTCCTGCTGTGGGGAGGAAAGTGAGTTTCAGGGGTCCTTAAGTTATTCTTTAAGTCATTCACTTGTTGAATTGTATGTTTTTCACATTTGCGAATGTGGAAAATTGTTAAGTTTTTTTTAAGGCTTTCATAAATTCTTGAGTTTGTGTTTTCCTTAACATAATTATCTGCTAACATTACATTGTCAGAATTTATATATTAGTCATAATTAACATTTGAAGCTGCATCTGGGTGAATTTTCAGAACTACTTTACTTTGGGAACGGTCTGCTGGTTGTTACCACATGTATTTTATTTGAGCCAAAGGTCAGATCTTTTCAGGTGAACTTGATTTTACAGGGTCAGAAGTCTTTGAATTTTTGTGTTTGGTTGCATTCATTGTTGTTTAAAACAATTTTTAGTAAAGCAAGTCACTATAAAGGAAAGATGTTTTTCATTGGTACCTTCATGATCTCCATTCCTGGCCATTTTTCTGAAATATTAGGTCTGTGTTCCTCTAATAAGACAGGCACATTTGATGCCCATTTCAAGAGCTTCCTTCTGCTGTCTGTCTTATGGTCCTTCAATTTCTCATTAATTCCTCCACTGCTGAGTACCAGAAGGGAGAGAAGATGAAAAGCAAATGAATCATTTCTAATTGTTAGCAGCTCTGGAAAATGACTTAGTAGAAGAGATTGAAGCTATTCTGGAAATTCTCTTGCACTGTGTTTTATTTCATTCATCTGCATTGTCTCTGAGATGGTCCTAACAGTCATCAGTTTAGAGGTTGATTATCCAGCTATTGGTTGACCAGGAATGTCCTTGCTTCTTTTATTTGTTTGTTTTGTTTGTGCTGTATCTGAGCATCTCCACAGAGGATGTTTAGAAGTAAGGCATAGAGATAAAATGTAAATTAATCATTACTATTTTTCCTGCTCTAGCGCTCTTAAGTGAACATTTTCATTTTGAGGGTACAGTTTAGTAGTTTTATTGAAAGTGATAGTAACTTCATCTTATTTTGATGTATCCTATACAGAAATGAAGGGAGGCTTTTGGGTACTTTTTAAAGAAACATGGACTTAGAAGGTTTCTGTAATTGATTTCCTGAATTATTAAGCTTTGAAGTTTTATTATATCTTTGTACAGGAATAGAACCTTGCCTTTTGCTGTAGAACAAGATTCAGGAGCATCATCAAACTGTGTGTGTGTTATTGCCCAAGAAGCTATCTTGTTTTGGTTTAGCAGTAAAAAAAGAAAGGATTAATAGTGGACAGTCCTTGCATAACAGCCGTGACTTTGATGATAACTGTTTCTTCGTTTTTTAGTTGTCTTTGGTCTCTTTTTTTTGCATCTCCCATGTCTTATTTAACTATTTGGATATTCGCAAAGTGGAGTTGTTTAAGATCGAAGATAGCAGTCTAAAATCACACTGACTGGACAGTAGGTCCTTGCTATTTTGCTTCAAGGGAATTTTACAAATCCATGAAAACTGCTCACTTTGACTGAGTTACTGTTATATTTGTAAATAAATCCTTACTAGGTAGATAGGATTAATAGATGGCTGTTAGGGGTTTTAAAGTTAATCCTTTGGATTTCTTGTTTCTTGGATATTACTCTTTCAATTTCTGTTGGAGGAGGACATTTATGGAAAGATTTGGACTAGGAGTCAGGAAACCCAAGCTCCTGTTCAGTTACTTTCTACCTCCGGGCTCTTGAGCAAGTCTCTTAATGTGCCTTTTCTGTGTTACATCTCCGAAAGTGAAAAGTGAAATTCGCTTAGTTGTGTCCGACTCTTTATGACCCCATGGACTATAAGGTCCGTGGAGTTCTCCAGACCAGAACCCTGGAATGAGCCTTTCCCTTCTCCAGGGGATCTTCCCAACCCAGGGATTGAACCCAGGTCCTCCCGCATTGAAAGTGGATTCTTTACCAGCTGAGCTACAAGGGAACCCCAAGAATACTGGAGTAGGTAGCCTATCCCTTATCCAGGGGATCTTCCCAGCCCAGGAATCGAGCCGGGGTCCCTTGCGTTGCAGGCAGATTCTTTACCAGCTGAACCACCAGGGAAGCATCTCCAAAAGGAGGATAAGTATGCACATTCTGCTTACTGTATCGGGGATGTTGTGGGGGAGCCCTCAGCCCTTTACTTAATTGTTTCTTTATTCTGGAATCCCTCTTCAGGTTGTCCAAACATTCCTGCTGCGTCCCACGGAGAGGAGCCCTTCCCAAAGCCCTCCGTTTTCACGTTTGGTGGTGGTCTCGCTCTTTCTCCCCCAGCTCTCTGCCAGCCCATCTTTTATATGGGGCCTTTGAATCCTGTACTTTAGCTGTTGCATGTGGCCCTTCTTCAGAGATTGAAAGCCTCACCAGGGCAAGGGCCGTACTTTGCTGTTTCTGTGTATCTGGCTGGCACATGGCCCCCCGCGCCTGTACCTCCAGTGAATGCTGGGTGATGGGAGAAGGCCAGAGGTGGGCATCTTAGCAGAACTTTCGGGTGACTGGCCTTTTAAATCACTCAGTTGTTCCATCTGCTGGTCTGTCTGTCGCATCAGTAACTGGATCAGGTGCACATAATACAGGTTGGTCAAAACCTCTTTCTTGGTTCTGTTACTTAAAATTCTGTTGTTGAAGTCAGTCAGAGGAATGAAAGGTGGTCGTAACAGCCCTGAATTTGACATTTGTTCCATTTCTCACCCTATAGCATGTGGAGCCCTACCTGTACCCAGCTGCTGAATGTGGAGAATAAAAACGGACCCCACAGTTGTCTGGTTTACATTTTAGCTTGTTTGCTTTGAAGAATTTGCAAGGTAGAGAGATGGATGCTTGGGGCTCTGATTTCAGCCCCTGCTGTGCTATGCAAATGTTCTCTACACGCCTGAGTGACCTTTTGAGAAAGAGCCTTTGTGATCTTCTGTAGCCAGGGCCTGTTCTGGGAATGAGTGTGCCAGATTCCTCTAAAAGTGGGGAAAATGAATCCGTTAAAAAAAAACAAGACCACACAAACAAACAAACAGTGCTTTTCCTGGTTAAATACTCTTAAGTCCATGTTTCTTACTGTCTCTTGCCAAAGCTTTTGAAATTTGCCCTGGAGTTTGCATTGCCAGGTGGTTTGGGGTTTGATGTGTGTGAAGGACTGACTGAAGCAGTTCAGTAACTGGGAAACTGTTTAAGTGCTTTTGAATTGTAGATAAAATTAAAATGGCATCATTAATATCTGGGTGTTTGTCATTGTCTTCAGGCGTTCCTTCCTAAGCACTGGCCTAGTGACTCTCATGATAGATTGGTAAGGTTCTTTTCTGCCCGAAATTGTGCTCCTATGGTTTGGCATTTTACTTGTTTTGTTTTTGTTTTGATTATTGTAGCAAATGAAATATATCATTATTAAAAGTGTAATTAGGTTTTCTGTGTTACAGCAGAGCTACGCTTCTGGTGTATTTCTCTTGGAAAGAGATGCCAGTCTCTTGGAGGTTTATGGCTTTTAATGCTTTTACTAAGATGTTTAGTTTATGTAGCTGAAATGCTTATGAAAAAAGAGTTTACTGTTCCCCTCTGTTAACCTTTTTGATAAGGATCGTCATAGTTTTGTACCAGATAAGGTTGTAGGGTTAATCATAATGTTCTTCTGCAGGAATTCTAAAAATTGAATTTTCAGAGAAGATAGGTAGAATTTGAATAACTGGTTTACTCCCTAGACTCTTTCCTTTCAAAGTTTAGGGTAACTCTTTCCTGTGTAAACATTTGCCAGTCTCTTAGGTACCCATTGTGGTAAGGATGTTGGGGGACCCCTAGAAGACCTTTGGGAAATTGTTTCTGCCCTAGACCTTTGCCTTAGAGCAAAGATGAGGATTTCTCCGGTGTCTGGCCTGCTGTTGGGTGAGAAAACCTTTCTTCTGTGTTCGTGGTGATGCGCACTGTCACATGTCTTTTTCTCTTCCCCAAGTTTCCCTGGAACCTGGGCTCCCCGAGACCGGCACTGAAGCAGATGGATAATGGAGACTGGGGCTATATGGTGAGAGGCTTCTGAGGATGCGCTCTGGAGGCTGGCAGATTATCTCTGTGTGTCTCTTCTCGCTTCGTATGTATTCTTAGATACAGTGCATCTCAATGAGAATGGAACTTACGAACGGTACAACCCTTCCCTCCCCCCCAGTTAGTTTCTGGGTATTTTTGGGTGTTTTAACTTTGGTGTTTTTAAGTAAGCGAGCTCAGCGTGGACTCTCCATGTAACTTTTAATAATCACTGTTTTTTTGGTCTTAAAGTATATTTCTCTTAAGACGCTTCCTTCATAGAGTAATGACTGTTAAATGAATGTGTGGTAGGTGACAGTAGACAGGACATTCTTGTGGTTGGGGAGGTTAATGGTTGAGAAGATGCCACTTCGCCCACTAGTACTTTTTTTTTGTTTTTTTTTTTGCATGTGCATGTGTCTTCCTATATTTTTTTTTTTTCCTTTGGTAAGAAATATTTTATTTGCATATTACCTGTCTCTACCTGTCTTGCTTTATTTCTTAAGTATGATTTTAAAAGCCAAAGGTATGTATTATTTAGAGAAGCTTGCTTTTCGAAATTAGAGGTCAGATTGTGACACTAATGTTACAAAAGTGATTATACTATCAGATTATGAAATTTGAAAGCTGATATTAGCCTTTGGGTATGTGAGAACCCACTCCAGTATTCTTGCCTTGAAAATCCAGCAGACAGGAGCCTGGCAGGTAATGGTCAGTGGAGTTGCAAGGAGTTGGACATGACTTAGAGACTGAACAACAAAAAATATGAGATTGTTTTGACCAAACTGTATATTTTAACTTAGTGTTTGGCACTATTTCTTCCATGAAAAGTTGAGATTAAGTGTACACAAATTTCTATTTTTAAAATTTCATCATTTCCCTCCTTCTGTTGAGGGGGAAAAGACAGAAATACTGAAAGTAGTTATCTTTATGTTTTTCAGTCATTTGTATTCTATTTTATGTTAAATTGAGTTAAGAAACATAGTCTTTTTTTTTTAAATTGGTAAAAAAAATGAGTATATCTTAAGTTTCTCTTCCTCTTCCCATAATGTACTCTAATCTGAAAACTTCTAGACCTTGGGCCTGAAATTAAATGGCTTCGGAAGTCATGCCCTCCTTTCTCAGTGGCAGGCTCTGAAGCGGTGGACATATCTCTTTTTTCTGTTGAAAGAGAATGTTAGATCCCTTCATCTGGGTGGGTTTCTCACTGAAACTAAAGCTGTTTTGCATCAGTGGCTTGCTGGATGTGCTGTAGCCTGAATCTTTCGCTTTGCTTGTTGCCACTAATTTTCTTAATTTGTCAAAGTTAGGATTTAAGAAAAAAAATTTTTTTTCAGATGACTGATCATGTTTTAAACAATTTCAGATGACTGACCCAGTCACGTTAAATGTAGGTGGACACTTGTACACGACGTCTCTCACCACATTGACACGTTACCCGGATTCCATGCTTGGAGCCATGTTTGGGGGGGACTTCCCCACAGCTCGAGACCCTCAAGGCAATTACTTCATTGATCGAGATGGACCTCTTTTCCGATATGTCCTCAACTTCTTAAGAACTTCAGAGCTGACCTTACCCCTGGATTTTAAGGAATTTGATCTGCTTCGGAAAGAAGCAGACTTTTATCAGATTGAGCCCTTGATTCAGTGTCTCAATGACCCCAAGCCTTTGTATCCCGTGGATACTTTTGAAGAAGTTGTGGAGTTATCTAGTACCCGGAAGCTTTCTAAGTACTCCAATCCGGTAGCTGTCATCATAACGCAGTTAACCATTACCACCAAGGTCCATTCCTTACTAGAAGGCATATCAAACTATTTTACGAAGTGGAATAAGCACATGATGGACACCAGAGATTGCCAGGTGTCCTTTACTTTTGGACCCTGTGATTATCACCAGGAAGTCTCTCTCCGAGTCCACCTGATGGAGTACATTACCAAACAGGGTTTCACGATCCGCAACACACGAGTGCATCACATGAGCGAGCGGGCCAATGAGAACACAGTGGAACACAACTGGACTTTCTGCAGGCTGGCCCGGAAGACGGATGACTGACCTCCAGCCCCGGGAGGTCCTGGGAGTGCACCTGCCAGGAGATCCAGGAGGCTGACCTTTTTTTTTTTTTAAATCACAGTGTGAGATTTTTTTTTTTTTAATATTTGTATTTATTTGAAGGCATTGGGGACCAGAAGGAAGTTTTGTGCTTTAGCAGACTCCTCTATGTTTTGTTCCCTTCACCCCAAGTGTGCATGTGCCTGTTCCGAGCCTCCAGATACCTTTTTTTTTTTAATATAAAGAAGTCTGAAAATCATTATGGTCTATAATGTACCCTTAACAAAGCTTTCTTTTTTTTTTTTTGCAGTGCTAAAATGATTTCTGATTAAATAGTCCCTAAATCAACTAGAAGGCTAAAAATGCAGGAGTGAAAGAATAAACAGTACTCATGATGCCTTGGGGAAAAATCAGAATATCATGTAGGGTGACCTAGTTTTCAGACCAATAAGCAGTATTGTAATATTAAAGGAAAACTATTCCAATCATGTAAAAGTACTTGTTAAGTACTGCTTTTTACAGTTATGACAACTGTTTCTTTCTATGCATATAAATCAAGCAACCAAATATCTGTAGCCATGGAGATGTCTGACTAGAAATATTTATATTGGATTCTGAATACAAAACGTCCCTGTGGTAGAAATCTCAACTTCTTATGCCTGGTGCAGTATAATTGTCAAGTGGTACTGTCTACCAGAAAGAAAAAAAAAAAACACAATAAAAATTGAAATATGAAAATTAGGTATGTATTGGTTGATTATTGTTAAGGGGGGAAATCTTATTCCTTGTCTAAAATCTGTATTGTTTTCTGTCCTAATAAATACTGCCTATAGCACGTTTGTATTTGATTCAGAAGGACCCAGTGGGAACTTCAGGGTGCAGTTTATGAAATTCTACTGTGCTGTTGAGTCAGGGAATAGATGAAGTTACTAGTTTTGTCTAAAACAGTGTATAGCTGGACAGCGAACGTGCAGCTTGACAATTTTTTTTCCACTAGGACTCATTTTGAAGATTATAGATTTTCCTCCAGTTGTCACTGCTGCATGACCCTTCTTCTAGCTTTGTATTGAGCACAGGGACAAACGGACTCAGGCCGTTTTATTCTCGTGTATTAATGCTGATCCACGAATGCAATTTATTACTAAGATTAAATTTCTGAGGAGAAGGAAACTGGAGTGAATGACGAATCTAGAACAGATATGGTGTACTTTTATTTATTTCACTGTAGTCTTATTTTGCATAGTTCATTTGATTCTGTCTCTTGGAAGTTGCTCACAGGAAGGATTATGTTAACTATAGTGAAACTTCCTAGTTTACTAGAACACCTTTTAAAAGAAAATTCAGAAATTTCCCTGTTGTCTAAGGGAGGAGTACGGTTCTGAGGCTGTGCACCCCAGCCTCCCTTTTCTTCTCTGAGTAGATTCTGAAATTTTCTTCTTTCAAAGGAGGATGAGAACACATCTGTGTTAGCCCACGTCGCTCTGAAAATTTAAGGTTTGACAAATGACCAATATCTAGAAACCTGTTTTCACACCAAAATCCCTTAACGTTAACTATTGGTAGGTGACTGTGGTTTCAGTAAATGTACTAAGTATGAGATTATCATTTTAGAAAATTGTCTCCCACTTCAAATTGATTAGTGGTTACCTAAAAAAGAAACAACAAGAAAAGGAACAGCCTAGCCAGTCAACGCATTGTTGAGTTAACAGAGGTGAATGAAAGATAAAATTAATTTGGACTGAAAACTGGTATGGAAGTGTGACTATTAGTTGTTCCAAGGTTTTAAGAGTTAAATGTTTATGAGGCCTCTTCCTTGTCCAGATTACTGGAGATAAGTTTGCTTTTGGTTAATTTTCTAAGATTTATGTTATTAACGATTAAATGATTCTTTATATGAGTATATTAGGAAAAGTAGCCTGCTGAGGTTTTTTGCAATTTGTTTGATAATATTTAATTTTGAGTGTTTTTTTTTAACTTGGGCAGTTGAAAATGATGTGGAAAATGTAGCATGGTTATATTTGGATAATTTGAGACAGTTATGTCTTTTATGAAACTTTAAATGATTTTTAAACATTTACGTTGTATTCCTGGAGCTTTTTTTTTTTTTCTTTTCAGTTTTTAAATTGAAGTATAATTGGCATGCAATATTGTGTTGATTTCAGGTGTACAACATAGTGATTGGACATCTATATTCATTATGAATTGATCACCATGATAAAAGCTGGTGACCATGTGTCCCCATAGAGTTTCCAGTGTTACTGACTATACTCCCTATGGTATACATTACATCCTGTGACTTATTTTATAACTGAAAGTTTGTACCTTTTAATCTTTCACCTATTTCCTATCTCCCCAACAACCACTTCTGTATTTATGTCTGTTTCTGTTTTGTTTGCTCATTTGTCTTTTTTTTTAGATTCCACATACAATTGAAATTACATGTCTGTCTTTTGTCTGATTTATTTTACTTGGCCTAGTACTCTCTAGGTCCATTCATGCTCTTGTAGATGGTACAATCTCTTTCTTTTTTATGGCTGAGTAATAGCCCTGTTTATATACACCACAGTTTCTTTATCCGTTCATGTGTTGTTGGACACTTAGATTGTTTCCATATCTTTGTTGTCGTAAATAATGCTGCAGTGAATGTAGGGGTACATGTGTTTCTGTTCGAGTTAGTGTTTTTGTTTTCTTTGGACACATACTCAGAAGTGGAATTGCTGGATTGCATCATAGCTCTATTTTTAACTTTTTGAGGAACCTCCATACTGTTTTCCATAGTGGTTGCACCAACTTACACTCCCCTCCAATGGTGCACAAGTGTTTTCCTTTCTCCATATCCTTGCCAGTACTTATTATTTATTACCTTAAAAAATTTTTTTTTAATTTATTTTAAAAATATTTATTTATTTGGCTGTGCTGGGTCTTACTTGTGGCATGTGGGATCTAGTTCCCTGACCAGGGATCGAACCCTTGCCCCCTTGCACTAGAAGCAGAGTCTTAGCCACTGGACCATGAGGGAAGTCCCTATTTCTTATCTTTTTAGTGACAACCATTCTGATTGGTGTGAAGTGATTGACATTTTATTTAGACTGTATCAAGTATATACACTTGTAGAAGAGGATTGTTTATGTGCATGTGTGTGTGTGTATGTGTTTTCTTTTAAGCCCTGGGATGAATAAATGTGTGTTGTAACAACACAAGTGATAACTAATGGATCTATTGGCTTTTGCTAGATGTAAAGCAAAACCCTGGGATTTCCCAAAAGAAATGCTACAAATGGGTAGTGCTTTTTTTTTTTTTAATTGTGGGAAATTTTAAACATTCAGAAGTAGAGAGAATAGTGTAAACACCCACGTACCCATTGAACAGCTTCAACAATGATTCACTCCCACTTTTTCTTCCCCTGGATTATTTTGGAATAAATCAGATATTGCATGTGCTTCAGACTGTGTCTCTGAAGGATAATGATTCTTTGAAACAGTACATACATGTGTAGTTGTAGATTTTAATGACACCTGTACTGTAGTATGACCAGCATATGGTGGTGCCTCTCCAGTGCTGCAGCTCGTCTCAGAGCCTGGCTCTCTGGCCTTGTAATAGTGGTCTTATATATTTCTCATAGGCAGGGTTCCCCTGTGAGTAGAAAGAAGTGCATTATTAAGACAGACTCTTTCTGCCAGGATTAATGACTTTCACTTTCAGATTAAGTTTATAGTTTCAAAACAGTAACGTTACATAAGATTCTTAATTTTTAAATTTATTTTTAAAATCCATTTTGTGGTGAACATATGGGGAAACATTTTTTTCCAAAGGGCATCCTTCCTTTTCTCATGCAGATTTCAAATTGTGGATGCAGGTGGCCAATTAAAAAAACACAACTTATCATTTTGCTTTGGGGATTTAATACAAATAAAAGGCTTGACTTTGAAATTGAGCACATTAACCACAAAGCAAGAAACCAGAAGGTGGAATGAAATAAGCAGTGTTCTGTGTCAGAATTGGGTGTTCTTAATACACCTTATTCTCTCTTTTTAAAAATGTTTATTTTTTATTATCATTTTTTGGCCACATCACACAGCATGTGGGATCCTAGTTCCCCGACCAGGGCTCGAACCTGTGCTCCCTGCATTGGGAATGTGGAGTAGTCTTAGCCACTGGACCCCAGGGTCCCTATCTTATTGTCTAATGTGATGTCTTGATTTCACTGCTGTACCCTCATCTTTTGTAATATTGTTTCATCTGCCTGTCTGAGCTGAAACGGTAAGCTCCCTGATGACGGGGGTTCTCCACTGTGTCCCCAGTACCTAGAATAGTTTTATCATATGCTCAGTAACTGTTTGTTAAATGATTGAATGAGTGAATGAATCGGTAGCTGTGTTGAACATATGGCAACCATTTTAACAAATTTCTACAGTAGAATAATTGGGGGGAGATAGGATTCTTGTTTAGAAATTATCCCCAGTGGTGCCTCTACTGCTTGTATCTATAGGGAATCACTTAGAGGAGTTCTAGTGGGGAAGGGGAACAGCCTTTTGCAGTTCACTACAAAGAAACCGGCTTGCGGTAGTGTCCAGATCAGCGGGGAACACAGAAAGGAGACCCTGTGGAGAGAGTAAACCCGGGAGTGCATCCTGCCGTCTGGGTTCGAGCTCAACACTTAACCTCCCCCAGACAGAAGAGATGCTTACAGTTCTAAGACATTTAACTCAGCTTAGCATTTTGCTTTTGGTAGAAATGTCAGTGAAATAAATTCCCGTTTGTACTTTTGGGTCTCCTGAGGCATATTTCAGAGTAGCTTTCGTTTTAATTGATTTGAAATACCTGTAGTGTTCCTTTTTCTGCTAGCGCAAACGAGGGGGAAAAATGTCTCTTTCTACAGTTTCAAAATTACCTACAGCAGATTAGAAAACAACTCTTTAAAAGTGCTATTTTGGTAGTCCGTAGAGGAGCCGGGAATGTAAGATGAGTGTCGTTTCAGCTAGCTGGAAACAGTTCTTCAAGGTCAGGTGTGAACTCACATTCCTAAAATCAGCATGCGTGCAAGAGCCACTTTGCTCTCCCTTTCACCTTTTTAGCAAGGTGCAGTACGCTAGGATGGTGAGAGTTGGCATTATTGTGTGTGCAGCAGGGTCCTCGTCCCACTATGTAGGTTGCAGAAGCATGTTCATTTACTCCGTAAATGCAAAGTATGTACTTTGTGGTAGACCCTAGAGTTAGGACGATGAAGATTCCATCCTTGTTCACAGTCAAGTGGCAGGAGATAGGGGAGGGTGCCTGTGATGTCGAGCATCCACATATTACCTCCCCAGTGTGCTGATGCCCTGGGTCAGTGACGCCTCGCATTTAGACAAGCCTGCCCTCATACAGTGTCCAGATTAAATTCTTTCAAGAAGAGTAGAAACAAGTAAAAGATGAGAGAGTCCCTCTGTTCTTTGGTGAAGATGAGGAACAGGAGAACTGGCATGCTTCCTTGCATTGCCGCTAAAGCAGGTTTGAGCTGGATATGGCCGTGTTCCCTGACAGGTGTTAAGGCAGGGGAGGTTTTTCTCTTGAACATCAAAGGGCATGTGTCTCTCTTTAGACCACAGGGGCTAATCTAGAGGAATGGGATCGCTGTAGCTCTTTGCCAGGGTTTAAACTTTAGAAAGTAGAGATCTAATCATTAGAAAAAGTAACATACTGTAAGTAGCTTGACTGTGCTCACCAATAAATGTACAGTCTTTAGGTAAGTTCTTGATATTTCCTTGCTGAGTTAGAAGGTTGCCTTCCTGGAGACAGGGGAGGACCAAAACGGATTGGCCTTCTATCTGATAAGCATCTTGGGGGTAACTGGTTGTGGTGCAACTTAAGATAACCATGTTAAATTAAGCTGTGAGGTATGACAGGATGCAGAATGTTAAGAGCAAGTCTAACACCACGCTAAGTGTGAATGGAAGCCTGAGAGGTGCCAATTTGATGAGGTGTTAAGACACTTTTTCTGAAATCTGACAGAAGAGGTAAAAAAGTAAGCTTCATCATCTGAATAACACATTTGCAGTATAGAATTCAAAATAGCCTGTTGTGTAGCTATAGAGAGCCTTTGTTTTGATCATCTGTATCAAGTTAGCTATTAAATGTTGGTTTCCCAAATTCTAAATGCAGGATCCATTTCTCTCCTCCAGTTAATATACCCATTGATATTCCCTCGAGGCTCACAGCAGAGAGTCTGGGACCCTGGCCCTAGGCTGTTAGGATTTTATGAGTCCTCCCCCTTCTTCTGTTAATGAGTTCTGGTGGTCTCTCCTAGGACAGCTGGGGATCTTTTCACCGTCACCCTTGTAATTGTCATTCACTTGGCTTCCCTGGGATACTGATGCAGTGCGGACAGCCCCCTCTGTCCCTGGGATGTTCTTCCTTAAAGAGGAAGGCGGCATCTCTCGCAGCCGGTGAGGTCTGAGAGAGACATCCCCCCCCCCCCCAAAGCTTCCTGTCCCTCTCAACACCTGCTGTATCAACACTGAACTGAGAGTTAAAAGGCTGAAAATAAGGTGGTTAAAGCAGTGCAGTCGTTTGTCTTCTTATTTCTGTTACTTAAATGCCAGCCTGCTTCTCTCTGTGTATGCCCTTGGGTATGTCAAGCGGTGATTTAGAGCTTGGTCCTTCCTCCTAATTCCCTTCACCAAATTCTGAGCAGTGCATTGTGCTGATTACAGTTCAGACTCAGAGATGCTGCCAGGCCACATCCCTGCTCCTGGGTGTTTTTTTTTTTTTGGTATTCTTAAAATATTGTAAATAGACATACTATGCCAAGCAATTTCTAACCTAATGGACATCGATTGACATGGGAAAATATGGAGAGATAGTCACTGCTTGTTCCCTGCTCTCTTAGGTAATTTATGAAGTATTCTAGTCAGCTACCTCAGTATTGGTGGGTGACCTCTGAGCCCACTGGAACAGACGTTCATAGGCGTGTCCATCATAACAGCCAAGCGCTGAATTTAAGCACTGATCCGGGAAGTCAAAAGCATCAGTTAACAAGATGGCATCCTTCCTGAGAGGAAAAAAGAGTTTGTGAGTATATTAGATTGCTCGATTCATCTGGAATGGTGAATAACAACATCTAATTAGAAGTTGCATCATTATCCACTTTTTGAACACCTCAGTTTTAATTTTTTTTGGAAGTTTTAATTTTTGATCAGTTATGCAGGCACAGTAGAAAGAGTCAAATAGTTTTTCAAGGCTTGTTTCTTAAAATCAGCATATCCCTGCCTCTCACCTGCATTTCTTCCCCCCCAACCCCTAGAGGCAGTCGGCTTTACTCTCTTAGCTGCTGTTTGGGGAACTGACCTGAATGCCTCTCCGTGTCTTGTTTGTATTACTACCGCCGATTCAGTGTTTCTAGATAGCATCTGTTGACTGTTACAGCAGATGCGGATTTATTTGAGCACCCCTCTCCTCGCCTGCACCACCACGCCTGCCCCATCCCCAACCTCTGTCTCCCCTCCTCGGTCTTCCTGTCTCCTAGTATGGCTAGTTTTGGCCAGATGAAGATTCAGTGCTCACCTGGTCATGACTGTGTATTCTATGTATCATCATGACTTCAGATGTGCTCTATTCACGGCTCGGCCGTGTTCCCACCCTCTCTCCTGACACAGTGATCTCTCTTCTGGCACTTCTGTCATAATTCTTAGTGATTTCACTGTCTGCGTGGAAGTTCCTCTAGAACCTGATGTCTCAGTTCATTGACTCTCCTCCACTGATCTTCTGCAGCCTCCCTCTGTCTGCCAGGGTCACACACTGGGACTCGTCATCCGTGTCTGCATTTCACCGTAAGCCCAGCCGTTTTCTCTTTCACCATTTCTTAGCTTTCTAGCTTACTCCCTGTACCACTCCAACTTCTATAATTCTCATTTTACCTTTCAGGCAGCAAAATCATTTTCTTTTAACCTATGGAATGAAGTATTTAAAAGCTTGTTTACATGCTTCTCTTCCTTTTTTAGCAGAGGATATGAAATACAATGCATAGCTGTTTACACTCTTCCCTCACCCTAATTTCACACGGCATTTGAGGTGCATGGGATACTGTACTTAGATTAATCCTGGATGGCCTTTGCTCATTTTATGACATGGTTTTCCTACAGGGCTGTTCATCATTCTTGGACTCTACTGGCGCCTGCTGCCTCATGTCTCTTATCTCTGTGGTCCCACTTTCTTCATCCATCTGAAATTCCATCGTCTGTTATATTCACTCGCTCCAGGATACATTCAGCAGGTTTTCTTGCTTGTCATACTTGTTTAGCAAAACCCCATCCCTTGTTATAGCTCGTTTTCCACCAACTTTGTCGTGCACCTTTGTAACAGTATATGCCTGCAAAAACCAACACTGACTATACTGAAGACCTGAGTGGGCCCTAATTGCTACTTGGCAATCAGTCTTGGTGGTTCTAATTCATTTACTTGTTCATTCTCTTAGGTGATTCTCTCCCACCTTCTCTTTGATGCTCAGATCTGTGTTACTCACTTCCCCATCTCTCTTAACCTAGGTGACTTTGAGTCCCATTTCACTGATGTGAAAATAGAAGTGGTAAGAGGAGTCCACAGGTTCCCAAGTGTGCATTTAAACATGCAGGGTTTTCTCTCTCGGAACAGGTGCACTGTCCTAGTTCCCAGCTCAGGCCAGTCCCTCCTTGTCCACTGGATACCTTCCCTGCTTGCCCAGTAGAGAGCCGTGTTCCAGAAGTCCTCCTGTATTTCCCCCGCAACGTCAGAATTCCCCTCTGTACTGGATCGTTTCCATCAGTTACACAGAGGCTGCCGTCTCTCCCATCTGTATAAAAACACCCATTTGACTGTTTCCCTCCCCATCACCTCACCTATACCTTGCCTCCCCTCTGTGACAAAACTCGTTGAAAGTGTCAAGCTTCTTTATGCTTGCTCTTTCCAGTTCTCATTCTTCTTGTCTGGCTGTTCTCCTCAGCTAGATTCAGGTTTTCATTCCCTCCACTGCACTTTTGTCGAGGTCGTCTCCTCCTCGTCTTTGAAGGGTCCTGAGACTCAGTGCCTGGGCCCCTCCTCTTCATACGCTCACCCCTCGTGATACTGTCCTTCTTGTGGCTTTAAATACCAACCGCATGCCGGTGGCTTCCGAATTTCTCTCTCCAGCCTCACCTGCTTACTAACGGTTTACATGATTTCTAGCAGGCTCTTCAAACTTGATGTATTCAAAAGCAGACTCCTGATCTTGGAGACATTCTGTCCACCCTGCCCAAACCTGGCTCTCCTGTAGCCTTCCCCATTTACAGTAAATGGCGACTCGGTCCTGGCCCCAAACCTGAACTCCTCTCCGTCTCTTACTTCCCATGTTGGATCTGTTAGCAAATCTTGTTCTCCAGAATAAACCCAAACTTGGACCGCTTCCCACCACTTCCAGTGCTGTCACCATGGGCCAGTCCGCCAGCATCTCTCACCGGGCGTATTGCGGCAGCCTGCTAACTGGGGTCTCTGCTTTTCACTCATCCCCCCTCCCCAGTCAGCTCTTAATATGGCAACTGGAGTGATCCTTTAAAGCACGCCTCAGATTCCCTCAGATGGTGCGTTAGGCTCTCCCTCACAGCGAAGGGCAGGGCCCTAAGTCTTTGCTGTGCCCTCCGGCCCTTCCTCGTGCACCCCCAGCTCGCTGACCTCTGCCCTCATTCTTCACCCCCGTCACGCGGCTCCAGCTGCCGCGGCCTTTTCTCTCTCTGGGTGGACGTGCCGGGCCTGCTCTGCCTGCCGGCATTCGTGCTTCTCCTTTGCCTGGAGTGCACTTCTCCCAGCCAGCCACACGGCTGCTCTTACCTCCCCACCTTCAGCTCTTTCTTCGGATCATCCCTGTCCCTGGGAGGCCTCTCTGATGTTGTAAAACTCCAGTCCTCCCTCCCCACCTGCACCGTTTCTGGTCCCCCACCCTGCCGTCCCGTCTTCTAGTGTTTGTGACCACTGCATAAATGTCTGACCTAGTTCATATGTGTCTGTCTGTCTCCTCTCCTCTGGTCTGCGGCCTTTTCAGCCTGAAACTCGTATGCTTCGTTTGAGGAATGTTTTCTTGCATTATTTCGTTAATGATTTGCCCCCTTCAGTATTTTCTGTCTTCTCTTTCTAGTCCCGTTCTTCAGATGGGCAGTTAGGATCAGTCCTCTTACTATTTTTTTATCTTCTCTCCTTTTCGTGTCGTCTTGCTTACTTGCTTGCTTTCTACGAGATTTCTGCAGCTTTGTCCTCCAGTCCTTCAGCTGAGCTTTTCATTTTCACTGTCATTAATTTCACAGAGTTCTTTTTGTTGTTCTCTGGATATTACTTCTTAAAAAATGACATTCTTTTGTGCTTGCCATATGTCCTCTGAACTCTTTGAGGATGTTACTGATCTTTCAAAAAAGTTTTCACCATGAAGATTCTCTTGTGTCTTTGGAGTGGCCTTGTTCTGGCTTGGTCTCTGTCTTTTATGATGGGTTTTCCTCGAGTGCTGGCAATCCCTGAGTGTCTGGTCATAGCTAAGAGTGGGACATTCTAGCTGATGAGAAGTCTGGGTGTACTTGTTAGTGTGGAGTTCACTATGGGCTGAACTGGGTGGACCACTGGGGGCCCCTGGTGTCGGTATCTTCACTTCTCTCTCCTTTGGACTGGTCAGATTCTCCAGAGAAGGACCATGATGTCATTTTCCTACAGGACACTGACCTGGCCGCCAGTTTGCTGGGAACTTGTGGGAAAGTTCCCACCACCACTTGCCAGGTGGTGCTAGAGGTATAGAACTGCCTGCCAATGCAGGAGACATGAGAGATGCATGTTTGATCTGTGGGTCGGGAGGATCCCCTGGAGGCGGGCATGGCAACCCACTCCAGTATTCTTGCCTGGAGAATCCCATGGACAGAGGAACCTGGTGGGCTACAGTCCACGGGGTCACAGAGAGTCAGACACGACCGAAGCGACTTAGCACGCATGCACGTGTGGGAAAAGAGGGCTGGGGGAGAGGGCTGTCAGCACTAGCCTATAAACATGTATTCAGGCCCCTGGTTTCTGTAGGGTAGCCCAGTGGCCCTCACCCTCAACTAAGCCTGAGGTCTTCTAGTCGGCAGACCCTCTGTTTAGCCTTCTGCCAAGGCTCTGTCAGGGAGAGTCTTACACCTGCTCAGAGAGGAGGAGGGGAACGGGACCCAGCCCCTTCTGAAATAGACCCCAGCCCCCCCGTCGGTCCCCCTCACCCCGCTGCCAGAGGGACCTGGTGCTGCAGCTCCCGCGGCGCTGCGGTGGCTCTTGACGGCTTCTCGGCTTTTCCTACTTCTGGTTTGGGATTCGGTGTCATCAGGCCTGCCGAGTCACTTTTTGTCCGTCTCGTCTCCCGATTTCACGTTTCCCCCTCCTGCGCTCTCTCTCTGGGTTTACTCCTTTTAACATTTTTACATTAATGTGCTGATGTTTTTAGTAGAGTTTCAGGAGGGAACAAAAGTAGATGCATGTGTTCAGTCTGCCATCTTTGCCTAAAAGGGTCACCCCTGGGATTTTATGACTTTGAACCACTGAAAACTGTTTTAGTCACTAATTACCATGATGCAGAGAGCTGGTTCTTAGTGTCACTTAGAATAGTGTGCCGTCCTTCATTTGTCATCTCGGAAATCTGAGGGTGATACTGAATAATCAAGGCATGCAGTTGTGACATAGAAATGTTAAAAGCCTGGAGTCTCTTAGGTTCCTAATGACCCTGCTGTGGTAGGAAGGTTACTTTAGAAACCATAATGGGAGTAAATCAACTTATGGGTTTCATGCATGTGTACGTTGTCTATTTGTGTCAGTGCTGTCTTTCTTGTCTTGAATTGTAAGTCTCTGGGGCCAAGGGAAGCACTCAGTGTGCTGTTGGAAATTTAAGAAAAAAACTATGCTTATCGGTGATCTTGTGTGTTTCATTATCACCAGCAGTCAGGGCTAGAACTTTATCATCTTCATGTGTGTTAAATGCCAAGCGTTTCAGAAAGTTAGAAACACTTGGGCTTGAAGTGTGCAGTATTCAATTATGCTATTAATGGTTTTAACCATTGGGTTCTCTCTATTAGGGAAAGTTTAATACCTGGGACATAATTTTACATCTGATGTGGTTTTGATAATTTTTGAGTTTTAATTCACTGAGCACCAACTTGGAGTCACATGTAACATGTTGGATATTGTTCGAAATGAAAAGAAGTTGGTCTAGTTTTTTTTTTTAATCTCCTTCATGAATATCTTTTTTTTTTTTTTAAGTTCAAATCTTTATTGGTTGTGCCTTGCGGAATTCGGGATCTCATTTCCCTGACCAGGAGGGATTGAACCTGTGGCTGCTTTCTGCAGTGGAAGCGTGGAGTCCTCTAACTACAGGACCATGAGGGAAGTCCCCTTTTATTTTGTTCTCTTATTCTTGATGATGATGTGAGCTATTGGAGGTGTTAGGGGAAGAGTCGTACACGGATGTGTCATGCCCTGCTTGGCTCCCAACAAACACAGCAGGCATCGTATTTCTCAGAAAAGCTTATGTTCTCAGGTTGTCTCCTTTTCCATCTTATGGACAGTGGTTACTAATTAGTAATAATTTCTTTTTCTTCCAGTATCCTGGTCATGTTGGGGCTTTGGTTTTCTTAAAGTGGTCATTTTGATTATCTCTAAAGTGACAGGATGAATATATTGCATTAGTATGTCATGGCGGTAAACTGCACTGCTTTATGCTGTCTGTAAAAACTATATTATTGTTGAGCAAACTCCAGGAGATGGTGAAGAACAGCGAAGCGTAGCATGCTGCAGTCCATGCAGCCCCAGAGTCAGACACGACTGAGTGACTGGACAACAAATTGTTTCACAAGCCAGGAAGTGAATTACTGGGTTTCAGAAATGTCATCATGAGGCTCAGGGAGTATTAAAGTGAGCTTAGTCAACTAAGCACATTCAGCAAAAGTAAGGATATATTTGAAATAAACAATAGCCCAGCCTTCATTTTAACATGCAGTTTAAGAGCACGTGCTCTGGAGGCAGACGTCTCCTAGACGGTGCCCTGTCCCTCTTCTGGCTGATTGTGTGGCCTTTGACCCTAAGTCCCAGTTTTCTCCCCTTTATAAAGTAGGGAAATTAATAGTATCCATTTTGGAAGGCTATCAGGATTAAATGAGATTATGCATATAGAAGCTTTGGGCATACTGTCTGACAAACATTAGTGTTCCTCAAGTACTAGCTAAGACTAAGACTCATTAATACTATTCTTGATACACAGTATTAATATGTAGTATGCTTCATTTTATTCATATTATATAGATTCTATCATTGTCAGATAATGTTAAAGAGTTTGAGGTAGCTAGATAATTTATTTTGAAACGTTTCAGTTGTGATTCTTTTTCCCTTTTTTTTTTCCCTTCCTTAACCCATAGTGTGTCCAGGACTATTGCCACTTTTACCAGACCCCCATTTAGCAAGAATTTTGGAGTTGAAGGTTTTGGTGTTTGAAATGAACAGAGGGTTGAGGGTGAAGGGCAGCCACTCACCGGATGAGGGGGAGCAGGTCCAGGTAGGCTTTTCTCGCCATGTCTATTTGGGCACCAGACAGGAAGCCATCATGGAGGAAGTCGCCCGCGTTAGTCAGGATGCCATGTAGGGCATAGAGGTCACAGAGGCGTCTGAGCACCTGCTGAATCGCTGGCTGGCTTTCCAGTTTCTCCAGAGCTTCCGTGAAAATTTTCACAGTGAAATAGTGGAGGTGCGCCTACAAAGACACAGAAATGCGTTAACCTCTGATCTCTGCTGCCACAAATCATCCCGGAAGCTTGGCAAGACTGCTGGAAGAAGGCTGCTGTGGCCATGTGTTTCCCAGCAGGCTGACAAGCAGCCGCCTCTCTCCTAGCTCACTGCGTCTGGCTAAGCCTTTTCGGTGGTGCGCGTGCTGGGGGCTGGTGAGCCCTGGAACTTGGTCCTTCATTTCTCATTGTGCTTGGGGCAGTTCCAGGTTGGTTTGAAAGAAAGAATACAGGAGTGTTGGAGGCTGACCTGGGCCAGTGGGGGACAACACCGCTTTTCTTCTCAAAAAAATAGCTATTTATTGTCTGCTGTGTTCACCGCTTTGCCTCCTATACCTGGGCCGCTGACCCTGTGCCGGGTTTGCAGCATTTGGATGTGGTTAAGGAGCGGATGTGCCCCGCCGCCCTCCTGGGTCAGATGCCTTGGTGCTCAGGCTGCACCCGGTGTGACAAAGTTAGAGACCCTCACTTTTCCACTTAGACCCTGTGTCCCTTTTCTCACGTGAAAGCCGCATCCTTGAATTCTCAGGGCTCTGGGTTGAAGAGTGGAGTGATAAGCTGCCCGAGGGTGCCCGCCTCTGCCTTACGGAGCAGGAGGGGGGCCAGAGAGAGGAGGGGCTCCCTGGGGAAAGGCTGAGCTGCACCCTGGCGCCGTGCTCTGAACGCAGTCAGCCTTAGTGTGTGCAGCTGTTGGTTTCAAGCTTCTCTCCTGTCCGGTTTGGGGTGGGAGTGGGATTTATACTCTGTAGCATTTACACTCTGTGAGTAGTCATGTCTGACTCTCTGCCACCATTGGACTGTAGCCTGCCAGGCTCCTCCGTCCATGGGATTTCCCAGGCAAGAAGACTGGAGTGGGTCACCACTTCCTTCTTCAGGGCATCTTCCCAACCCAGGGATCGAACCCATGTCTCCTTTGTCTCCTGCATTGCAGGTGGATGGATTCTTTACCACTGAGCCACCTGGGGAGTCTTGTTTATACACTCTACGTGGCTCTTTGAGTTTTACATCTATTAACGCATATAACCTTCACAGTAATCCTACAAGGTGGATCCTGTTATTAGCTCCATTCTGTGGAGGACATGCGTGTGGCATCTAGAGAGTAAGTTCCTCGCCCAGGCACTGGTTAATGAGTGGTAGCAGTGAGCTCTGAACCAGGGCAGTCTGTCTCTCGGTTAAGAATTGGTAGCATTACCTGCTACCCTGCGTCGCCAAAGCCGCCAGAGACAGGCTGGACTTTAATGGGCCAGCACCAGAACTCAGGCTCCCGCGTGTCCACCCCTCTGCCGCTGTTCCCGCCAGCCCCCGTGTTGCTCTGCGGCACACGGCGGTTTCCGGGTGAGACCCAGTTGGGTTCTTGAGTTTTCTGTAGAGGACAAGGCCTCCTAGAGCACAGAGCCCAGGAAGTGCAGATTTCCCTGCCCGTTTTGACTTTAGAGGGTCAGCATCAGCACCGCCTTCCCAAGAAGCTGTTCATCCTTAAAACTGAGATGATGCTCCTCTCCCTCTCAGGGTCGTGGGTGTTAAGTGAGGTAACCCCAGCAGGTAGCGTCTGGTGCCTTTGAACGCAGGGCATGGGTTTGGAAAGCAGGTGAACAGTGGGCAGATGCGTTGCCTTTCCAGGTGTCTGGTGAGACTACAGACTTTGCTTACCCTCTTCTGTGCTGACGGTGCATTGAACACAGCCGGCAGCACCTCTGTGGTGGGCAGAGTGGAATGGAGGGCGGCAGAATTACCCACCCACCCCCCCCCCCCCCCCGCACCCACTGATGCAATGGAGGTGGCAGGTCACCAGGTTGCGCTCCTGTCTGCCTGCCGCCGGGAGCTGCTGCAGAACCCTGGTGGGCTCTCCTGTCCTAAGGCAGCTGTTTTCTGGGCCTGCTGCCTGAGGACTGAAGTGACCACCTTGGCTCTCCAGCTGTAGGTAGGGCCAGAGTCCCCGCTGCCTGAGCTGGAGCTCAGGAGCCAATCTTAGCTCCATGCCACTGCACTGTTGTCTGAAGCCTGTCCCTTGCTTTCTTCCACACCCTGAGTATCTCTGCATCCACCCACTTCTCTCTTTGCCCTCTTGGCAGGTTCTTGGTCTGGGGCACCCTCAGTCCTTCCCAGACGGCTGCTGCCTGCTCTGTACTGGTGTCTAGCCTCCAGTCCTCTCCTCCCGCTGCAGTCGGTATGATCCTTCTAACGTGAAACTCATCGCTTCACTCCTCTGATGGAAACCCTCAGAAAAGCAAAGGCTTTCCACTGCAGTGAACACAAAAGCCAGACTTCTCACAGTGCTGTCGGAGAGGCCAGGCCATGCCTATCTTTCCTTCTCCCCTCCCCTCCTTCCTCTCCTTGTTCCTTGTCTTCCTTTAGGTTCTCCTTGGAAGGACTTGCATTTCCTCCCAAACACTGTGCCTTTCCTTGCCTCCACCTCCAGCATCTCCTGACCCCTTTGCTGGAAACCCTTCCTCTCCAAAGCCACAGCCTCCACCCACTGCCTGGCTGATTTCAGCTCGTCCTTGCAGTCTTGGCCTGTGCGATTTTTCTGAGAAGGCTTTCTGACTCCTCGAGGTGGGTGGACTTGGACCTGCTCTGGGACCTGGGGGCAGCCTGTATTTCCCCGTGACAGTGCTTTCCTGATCGTAGCCATGCAGGGCCTCTTTTGAGCCCCCCAGAACCCAGCCTGATGCCGGGTGTTGGAGTGCTCAAATATTTGCTGGCAGACAGTGAATTATGCACAAACACAAAACACAGTGGAAACAGAATCAGACATCTATGGATTGTCTGTGGGGCTAAGGAGAGACTTGACCTGCTTTTCTTTGTGGGAGGAAATATTTGAACAACCTGAAGCAAATCCAATAACACCGCCTCATTACTTTTTTCTCTAAGAGCTGCCAGTCCAGCAAGACTGCTTTGGAGTTAAGTCCTTTAATTAAAATACCCGGGGCTAAAGCCTTGAAAGTGAAATGAGGGCAGCCACTGAGCAGGGCTGAGGCATAATGGCAGGTTTTCTCGGCCTGGCAGCTTGCTGGGGAAACAGAACAGGCCCTTTCAGCTCTGGCTGACTGGCAGCTCACCTTGGTGGCCTGGATGTGGATGACAGTGGTCTGGTTCCACGCATCGTGCTCGTCGGCCCCGGCTTGCCTCAATGTCTGTAAGTGATGCACCGAGTCCTTTATTAGCCTAAAGGCCAGAGGAAAAAAAAGTTCTGTTTCTTGACTGAGTGAAGGGATAGATGGCATTTGATCCCAGGATGCCTGGGTCCCACAGAAGTAGAACAGTTCCATTTATTGACTGTTTGTTGGTGGTTGGTGTTAAAAACCTAAACAGTGAGTTTCCAATGTACTTGTTACGTATAATCTCCTTAACCCTTCTAAGGGTAAGGCATTCCCAGTTTGCAGTGGGAAACATGGAGTCCTTGAGAGGTTAATTAACTGGTCCAGGGTCACGCAGCTAGGAAGGAGCTCTTAACCTCCTAGCTGCACCAGGCACCCTCCCCTCTTTCTGATGCAGTCTCCGCCCTGATCCCAGCATTATCAGACCACTCAGTTGACTGACTTCCAGTGCCCGAGCTGGGAGAGTGATTTTCCTCTAAAGGCTAGTTGAAGCTTGTCAGTCACCCCACTCTGCTCCAAGTTCCACCTAAGGGACTTTAGAAGAGGAGGAAAGAAAACCATCCCTTGTTCTCCAGACTATAGAATTGGTCATTTGCCATTTAGTTAACCTTTACTCTTTTATCTTCTATTCCCTGCCCATCCGCTCCTGACCCTTGGAATTTGTATGCAAAACCAGCTAGTTATTAAGCAGTACTTACTTTGCTTTGTCATGGGATAAGCACATGTCACATTGAGTTCTGAGCAAAGAGCAATACACAGGCATCCCTTGCTATCTCTGGGGGTGGGTGGGGGGCAGGGAGAATGGTCCCAGGACCCCCACAGATACCAAAACAGAGATACTCAAGTCCCTGTATGAAACAGTGTGGTGTGGTCACAGGCTCTGCATCCGTGGACGTGGAAGGCCAGCTGGGATGGCAGTTTGATTACTCCGAGCAGCCTTCTTTTGCCCGCCCCTCCACTCCAGACGAAATGTTACTTCTGTGAAGCCTGGACTTTGGTTTCTATCAGACTGGTTTACTGATGGATCCTTAGAGCCTGGTGGATTATTAAGTACTTGCAAGATATTTGTGGAGAAAATAGACGAATGTTCTAAGTTGCTTTTGATCTTGAAATAACTATTAACCATCCCTGGGATCACCGGTTGGGATATAAGACCTCTTATTATGTACTGAAGCTGTTTTTTCCGGATTGTTTTTGGTGTCCTAGTTGGGGAGGGCTCAGAAGGTTTCCCTTCTGGGTAATTAAATCTCTGTATCTTCTGCGTGGGAGTGTCTCTGTTTGGCCATGCCCAGTCTTTATCCACAGCCCCTGGCACATGTGGGTGTTCCTGGTACATAATCGGTGTCTGACGGTATTTCCTGGATGACAGAGTGGAGGAGGCTTTGGTCTTGTCTATCCCTGGAGCCTGCTAGACCCTGGGAGTAAACAAAGTCTACCCTTTGTTAAGCTCATCTTTTTAAACATTGCTTTTAGATTGTGGGATGTTTTGACCATGTAAGTACCATTATCCCTCTGTATCCACTTTCCACATCTTCAGATTCAACCAAGGATCAAAAATATTTGGGAAAAACAAACTCCTGAAAGTTAGTTCCAAAAAGCAAAAGTAGAATTTGGTGCACACTGGCAACTATTAACATAGCAGTAACATTGTATTTATACCTGTTCACATAATATTCACATTTTATTGGGTATTATAAGTAATCTGGAGATGATTTAAAGTATATGGGAGAGTATGCATAGGTTTTATATAAATACATACCCATAATATTGCAAATCTGCAAATATTCCATTTTATAGAAGGAACTTGTGTGTGTATCCTGAGAGTTTGATATCTGCAGAGGTCCTGGAACCAATCCCCTGCCGGTACAGAGGGATGACTCAATGCTTTATTTATTAGTATTAATATTAGTACTGATAGCAGTACTAGTATTATCAGTATTACATTATATAATTATGTATAACTACTGTATATATAATTATTTTATAATTATGTTACATTATCATATATAATTATATTATTATGCTATAATATTATCAGTATTAGTACTGATACATTTTTGGTATTTGTAATGTATGCGTACATTCTTTGAATTTCAAACCGTAATAAGAGCCTAAAGATTTTAAAAATTCCTTGTACTGGTTTGAGAGGTGATATTTTCCTGTTATCTTGAGCAGGATGGGGAAGTGACAGGTGTGAATTTGCCTTCTGTCTGCCCCTCGTGGCAGAAACTGAGAGGAGGAGGTTGGAAAAGGGGGCTAGTTTTTGGAAGAGTATCCGAGACTTTCCCCCCCAGCCAATCCCAAAGGCCTTCAGTGGAAAGGAGCCTGCCCCCAGGTGGGATAGTTGGTGTCTCAGCGTGGCTCACCTGACCGCCACGTGTGCCCAGGCCATGGTGTAGAGCTCGGGGCGGAGGAAGTCATCTGCTGTTTGGGCCGGACACCTGGCCAGGTCAGGTGCAGGCAGGTATGCGACAGACTGAGGGAGTGACCCCTTCAATGCGGAGCCTGGGGACTTCTGAGTGTTCAGGTAGCTCTTTATCAGAAACCTGGGGGGCAGAGGTGCCAAAAGATGAGAGGGTGGGGGGGCCCCTGGGACAGCTCAGCACCCCTCTCTCCCAGCATCGTGCACCCTTAGGCTCCCTGTGGGAGAACCAGGGCCACCCACGCTCTTTCCTGGGTCCCTGCTGGTGGCTGCTCCTCACTCAAAGCCACAGTGGACCTGAAGGTATAATTTCTTTCACAGTGAAATGGGGCTGGAGCCGCAGACCTGGGCAGACATTCTCAGATCCTGAACGTAAAGCCTTCTGATAATGGAACAGAATCTTCTGTCTCGGTTAGGATCTTGTGATTTGGGGATTTATGACGATTATACCGTGACTGCGGAAATTAAATTTTCTTAGCTGATCAAAGGATAGAGGCAAGATTGCGAACATGAATGGGAGAATTACAGGTGGCTCTTAGCTGCTTCTTTATAATAACCCAGTGGTTAGAGGCTCTGGGTCAGAGAAGCCTGGATTCCCATGCCACGCCACTGAGACCTCTGTGACCCTGTAGAAGTCACTTCACATCCCTCAGCCTCCATGCTTCCATCTCTAGATGACGATGATAGTCATCTGATGGGGGGGTCTGTGAAAACTGGATGGGACAGTATTTTCTGAACGCTTGGCACAATGTGGGGCATAGAGTATCTAATACATGATTTTGTATTCCTTTTGTAATTTGAAAAAAAAAGTCATGTTGTATATTTACAAGTTTTTAAAGAAATGTTATATAGCAAATTTGCCAGTCCTTTCTCCCTGCCTGGGGAAATATTTGTCCTGTCTAGTCCCCTGAGATGGAGGCACGTGAAAGGCCTCATCAGCCACAGACGCACGAGAGAAGAAACTGCCTGTTAGGGGGATGAGGAATGAGTCATTCGTCGTTGCCTTCCAGGGTGGGGCCTCCAGCGCAGACCCCCGCGCTAAACCTGGGCATGCCGCAGTGAACAGGGCGCTCCCCACCACACAGAGAGAGATGCTCAGATTGTGATAACTGCTCCGAGGAAATGGCAGTTGCTGCCCTAGACGGAGTGGTCAGTGGGAGCATCTGGAGGAGGTATTTTAGCTGAGACCCGAAGGGTGAGGAGGAGCAAGCTGTACACCAGAAACCTGGGGGTGGAGGGGAGTGAGGGTGCAGGCCCCGCAGAAGTGAGCAGGGGAGGAGGTGGGGAGAGGATGGAGGGAGGCAGGGCCAGATCAGAAGGCCCTTTTAGGCTGCAGCGTGGGAGCTGAGGGAAGTGACTGAAGAACTGGGAGCCGGGGAAAGAGGTGATCATCTTTAGGCTTTGAGAAGGTGCCCTTGGCTGCCTGTGGAGAAAGGCCTGAGGTGGGGCAGGTGGGAAGCAGCAGAGCAATGAGGAGACTGATGCTGGGTCCAGGGGGCGGGGCTGGCGGCCTGGCTGAGGCTGCAGGGTCTAGGGAGAAGGGGATGGATTGGAGACATGGCGTGGGAGCTGGGCAGCCCCCACGTGGCGTCCCCAAAGTCAGCTCCCTCCGTGGGCGTGAGATGATGCGCCAACCCAGGCAGCAGCTGCGTGGGGTCCCTGGGGGCTAGGCAGAGGCCTGGGCCTTACCTGGCCGTCTGCAGGTAGAGCACCGTGTTCTCGCCCTCATAAGTACAGGAGGCTGTCACTCTGGTGAGCAGAGAGGGCAGGCCACTCAGCTTCGAGTAGCCGTGTCCTCCGCAGGCCCTGCGGCACTGCTCGACCGCCTGGATGCAGAAGTCCGACAGCATGGCCTTCAGACCTGCGCTCAGCGCGTGAAGCTGCGAGGATAAGAAGGGGGTCAGGCGGCGTCGGGAACCACGTGCCTGCCACTCACAGAGCGCCCACGGGTGCTGAGCGCCGCTCTGTGCCGGGAGAACTGTTTCCTCAGCCCATGACTTGATGAATGAAAGACCCGGGTCACAGAGAGAGGCAGTGTCTCTGGGGGGCTGGTAAGAACAGAGGAAAACCGTCCAGGCCAGAGTCTCCAGGGTCTCAGGAAGAAAGTGCTTCTCAGGTCGGTCTCACCATTATCCAGGAGCTGCAGATTGACCCCACAAGCAGAGATTTTGGAGAGCTTGTCTGTGAGGACGTGGGTCCACTGTCAACCCACTGTTTTGGGTTGGAGGAGCGGCCGCCAGGCAATAGACCTGGTCTGAGTTTTTGATTCTTGGAAGTCCTTACCCGTCTCTCAAACTTTCCAAGTCCTTGGGAGGAAGGGCCATGTCCCTCAACCTCTCTGCTTCACTCTCCTCATCTGTAAAATGGGTATGCTGCCTGCTGTAGAGTGGACAGATTACTGAAGCAGTGCTCATAAACTCAGGGCCTGCACAGACTAAATCTTAGTGTGTGTGTATGTCCACAGTCCTTTATCTGAGAGGGCTTTGGGGCCAGATGTGTTTTTGGAATCAGAATATTTTTCGAATTTTAGAAAAGTAAAACAGGGCATTTAAGGTGGATTAAATATAATACACCTAGAGGAGCCCAGGGGCATCTTAGTGATCTGATTGATGTACTGGTATTTCTGCTGCAAAATGTATTCACAGCGAGTGGGGTAAATCTGGGCAATTCCGGTCAAACCATGCCACCCAGTGAGTTCTACATGGCTTTTGGTTTTCAGAGCTTTCTGGGTTTCAGAGACACACCAGGGATTGTCCCCTGTGTTCTGTACACCGTCTGTGATTACTTCATCTAACATATTTGGAGGTTCCTGGGGGCCAGACCTGGGAGGATTTCTGTGTCAGAATACAGTTCACCCGGGGCGGGGGGTGGGCTGGGATGTTGAAAATCTTCTGTGGGGGGAAGGCAGAAAGAGCCCAGGGCGGGCAGGACTGGGGCTGTGTCCCGGGGGAGGACAGTTTCAGCCACGGTCGCAGCTTCTGCCCCCCAGGAAGCAGGTACCTCAGGCAGGTGTGTGAAGTCTCTGTTCAGAATGAAGTTCTTGGAGTGGTGGAAGAACTCCAGGAGGTGGTTGCCCACAAAATGGAACGCATAGGCCATGGCCAGCGGAGGAAAGAGTTTCTGCTGCTGCGTCTGGTAGTCTAGGACCTTCGCCTCTGGGTCGCTGAGGGAAAGGAAAGCAGATTTAGAAGGTTACTACCTGCCCCACCCACCTTCCCGCATCCCCAAGGCCATAAAAGCCTTAAAAAGGGACAGTTGTTGATAACTCACTGCCAGACCTGACCTGGACGGACATGGGACTAGTAATAACCTTAAAATTCCATCTCACATGAACAGCGCACATTTCACTGTAGAAATGCTGACATGTTTGCTGATAGGTGCTGCCCCTTGTGGAGGTTTGCAAAATTACAGTATATGTACCTGTGAAAAATCTGGCAAGTTCTGAATACCAGCATACCTGGTCTCAAGGGTTTGGGTGAGGGGTTGTGGCCCTGAAGCCCGGGTTATGTGACCCTTGACCTTTCACTGTCCAGCTTCACGTGCTGTGTGCTGGAAAATACTGTGAAACCTAGTCAGTGACACTGAGGTTGTGAACGTGGGTTTGATGCAATTCTGAGGTAGGGATTTCTCCTGCCTCGTGCATTACTGTGTCCTCAGCACTTGGGGCTCTGGTCAGCATTTGGGGCCCACGGTAGGTAACTACTTGTGGGTTGAAAAAAAGTGTGACCGTGAGAGGCTTCCCGTGGGTGATGGGGCGAAACCTGCTGTCTGCTCTTCGGGTCGGCAGCCCCTCACCTGGACATGCACTGTTAGAACTATCCTCAGGGCATTTCTGCAGCCCATAAATCTGGGCTCCGGCAGGACACCACCGGCAATACCTTCCTCCCATCTCGCCTGTCCCCAGAGATGACTCCCTCAGCCCAGGATTCTGAAGCCAGGCTGGCCAAGGGGCCTTGGGTTTGCCAGTGAAGGACCCTGGGCTGAGGGCCTGGCGTGCCTCAGCACCTGGGAAGCGTGTTCTTGTCAGGCCGGTGAGTAGATGGGGACGCCAAGGGGCGGCGGGGCAGCTCACGAGCAGCCGAGTGGGGGGTGGCCCCAGGCCTGCCTGGCCTCGGTCCTAAGTCCCCTCTGCGTGAGCCAGCTGTGGGTCCTCGAGCCCATGGTGTGAAATGCTGCCAGATTCTTGGACCAGACGTCCTCGTGTCCTGGCCCTGGTCGTCTTGCTTTTCCCTTTGCAAGTGAGGAAGTGGGCCCAGAGAGGGCAGAGGGCTTGCCCAGGGTCACTCAGTGGAGTCGGGGCGAGAGCCGCCCTAACCCCCGCCTGTCTCTGCCCCACGAGTTCAGTCATCTGTGCCGTGTCCAGCCCAGCCTCTCTCCCTGAGCTCACACTGCAGCCCCCTAGGCCCAGACTCCAGTTTGCTGCAGCCTGGGTGTGTGCCCATGTGGGACATGTTTATTCTAGAAAATTCTTTGTCTATCGAAAATTGAAATGTAACAGGCAGTTCTATATTTTTTTCTAGTGAATCTGATAATTACATGTGTGTATGTGCCTGCATGCATGAGGGAACATGCCTTTGTACACATACACACATTAAAGCAGAAAAACTTACGTTTTTCTCCTGTGAATTACCTGCTTTTTTTTTTTTACCTGCTACTTTTAAAATGAAAAAAATGAGGGCAAATCATTAAAAAAAAAAAAAGCAGAGGGTATAGTCAGCCCTTCAGTGCCATGGAGTAGACAGAGTGTTAGCCGGACACAACCACAGACAACAGAAGGATCTAGATGTGGGCATACCACGGGCAGCAGCTGACAGTCACAACCAGACAGAACCATCTCCAGCCAAATACAGTCGGATGTGACAGCGGGCTTTTCCAGGCACAAGCGTCCACAGCTGACAGAACCACCTCCGGAGCCACACTCACCCACAGCGTGGCGCCCAGCCCATCAGGTGACACTCAGCCTAGCACGGCCATAGGGGACCCGTGTGGACAGACCGAGCCCACTCTGGTGGTGCGGGGCCAGACTCTGACCACCACATACAGGTGGGGCCGGCTGGCCAGCGGGGTTCCAGGGAGCCAGATGGAGACCCCACAGACGATGGGCCAGGCCCAGGCGACTGTGCGTGCACGAGGTGGGTCACGTGTGCTTCTGGCACCCCACTCTGGCCAAGGGCTGGGGTCAGAGGGCAGACACTGTGGGATCGGGGGGCCCCGCTGCGGTGGCTCCCCTGGGCGCCCCTTGCCTGGGCCGGAGGCGGGATTGGTGGCGAATGACGGAGTAGCGGATGGCAATGACGCAGGCCTTCTGCAGCAGCGGGAGGACCTCGCCCAGCAGAATCTCCACACGCGTCGCCACCATGCTGAAGTAGTTGCTCTTCGGTACTCCCAGCTTGATGTAGGTGCCATCTGGCAGGACCTGGTAGCCCGGGGCCAGGCAGTGGGTCTGAGCTGGGGCTCCCCAGCCTTCCGGCGCCCGGAACGGCGGGCCTCCCTGCGCTGTAGCCATACCCACTGCCCACATGCCTCGGCTCACAGCTCCTCCCCGGGACACCCCAGACCTCCCCACAAGCCACAGCTTCCCGCGTGTCCATGGTTCTGCCTGGCAAAGTGGCCCCCCCGCCCCCCGCCACTGCCAGAACTTCCTCCGGCACTCGGCTGTGCCTGTGGGAGATTTGTGTGCAGGCTGTGCTGGAGGTGCATACGCACACCATCCTCAGCCCGTCCCTCTTTTCCTCACATGGCCCTGCTGCTCTGCCTCCCCGTGCAGGGAGCATTTACTCAGGTTCAGAGAGGCCAAGTGACTTACCCAAGGTCACACGGCTCCAAGCCTGGGACTTTACTGAGGTCTGTGGGACACCAGAGCCCCTCAGGGAGGGATGCCCCAAACCCAACCCTAGAGAAGGACCAGGGGCAGCAGCAGCATTCCGTGGGGTGTGTCTGCCCCCTCGCAGGCAATGCAGGCTTGCATCCTCCCCAGCACCCACCTTTGCGAAGCGATTCAGCATGTTCTCCCTGGGGATGCGCACGTGGTTCAGTTTGAGGAAGCCATTATCCACGTGTTCAAAGTCCATCTTGGGCCCAATGTCCCCAGTGGTGATCCCTACGAGGAGACAGAGGTGGGGTGGCCGTCAGTTCAGGGCTCACACGAGGCTGGCTCATCCGAGCCTCACAGCCGCCTATGGTGCTGGGGTCATCACAGCCGCTTGCAGGTGAGCAGGCTGAGTTCAGGTGCTGAATCTTCCTCGTATCCACCCAGCCGGTTAGCACCAGGTCTGTGCAACTGGAACGGTCCCTGCCCGAAGGAGACAGGCCTCAGTTTCCCCCATGGACCTCTGGGGCCCACGACAGGGAGGCCTGGTGGGGTCTCCTGGCAGGGGTCCTAGAGGAAGGAACAGGAGCTTACCTGGCAGCGGACTGTGGTCGTCGAGGCTCCGGATGGGGACGATAAAGGCGTGCATGCCCTGCCGGGCTCCAGAGCAGATCAGCTGGGCCTGGACCAGGGCGTGGGTGGCTGACCGTCCCACTGCGGGCAGAGAGGGGAGAAACCCAGCGTGACCCCACATGTTACAGAGGAGCAGGCCAAACCTCCCCATCGGGACAGGGGAGGAAGGCCCAGTCTGTGAGGAGGACCATGTGGTGGCGTGGGGGTGGGGGATGCTCTGTGAGGCTGGAGTGGGGCTTTGGTCTGCCTCGGAGGGCGTGGGTCGGGGAGGCTGGAGGGCAGAGAGTATTTTCCAGGGAGCCACACAGGCCAGAGTGCAAGGCGAGGGGGCAGCATGCTCAGAAGCCTGGGGACCAGACCAGCCTGGTGGGTCCCAGGTCGTGGCGTTGGTGGAGCCAGGGAAGATGAGGGGGTGCTCAGTCAGGATACCTCTCAATTTATACGGCCTCCACTCATCCTTAGAAATGACTGGAACCACCCCAAGAACTTTGGTGTGAGTGTCTCGCTCGAGAATGGATGGGATTGGAGGGATTTATGGCGAGTTGGTGGCTGGGGGTACAGAGGGTTCTGTCTAAATGTTCGGTTTGTACAGCAGCCACCCTGCAATATGCAGAGTCCCCATGGGCTCGGGAAAGGAGGAAGGCTGACGGAGCTCTCATGGGGGACCATTGCCCTCCGTCCCTTGCGGCTGCTCTTTCTTCTAAAGGCAAAGCTTGACAAAGGCTGTGGGTTTTAATGGAAACACTCTGAAGGCAGCAATCTGGGAGAGCTTGGCATCTTTTAAAACTTGGTCCTGCCACAGTCTCCTGACTGAAGTACACGCGCTTGGTTATTTTCTTTGGAATCAGGGGGACAGGATTTTTACATCATGGCTGCGAGGGGAACGTATGTAAGGATCTGTGGTGGGAACACGGGTCCCAAATCGCAGGGAGATGTGTGCCTTGCTGCTCCACCCCAGCAGGTGGGTACCTTTGAGACCTCAAACAGTCACTGATCACAAAGAGAGGGAGCTATCCCCAAAGAGCCAAACAACTCTGGCCGTGACTTGCAAAGGGCGTTCTGACATAAGCACGCTTTTTCTTCCCCCGTCCTCAAAAACCTATTAATGACCCTGTGTGCCCTCAATCTAATAATAGTGATTCAGATACCAGCATTTCCAGTCTTTGCAGGCAGGTGTGCCCAAGTCCCATTTTCCAGAGAAGGAAGCTGAGGCTGAGAGAATAGAGGGCTGCGCCCGAGGGCACTGACCTGAAGGGGGCAAAGCTCAGACTTGAACCTGCCTGGTTTCAATGTTCCTCCTTCCCTGCAGTTTTGTCAGTGGTCGCTGCTCTCTTAGTTCTCTGGCCTCCCTCTCTCCACTGGTCTCTCCACTCCATCTTTCTCCCTCTCTGCTGCCTCACCTCTCTCTGTCTCTCTGTCTCTCTCTCTCTCTGTCTTTGTCTCTCTTGGGACTGGGGCAAGTGTGTGTAGGGTGGCAGTGTGCACGCGAGAGGCCTTGACCTTCATTCCCAAGGTCGGGGTCCGTTTCCCCAGCTGTTTCCGCGTGCCTCCGGTGGCTTCTTAGCCACTCAGTGATGAAAGTTTTCAGACCCCAAATGTTCTGCCACTTAAGAGCCTGGGGCTCTGGGAAGGGACTTGCCCAACGTCATCAGCCTAGAACAGTGACTCCGTCTGAGGTCTGCTGGCCGTCACCGTCAGTGCTGTTCTGCTGTCCTTGGGGGACGAGGGGGCATACTCACGGTCCCCAGGCCACCATTTGATGGCCGTCATCGTGGGGCTATGCACCACAAACTCCTGGGTGGCTGCGTCGTAGGTGGCTTCAGTCTCCAGGCCCTGAAGATACGTCCCTGGGAATCAAGGTGGGTAGTTAGATGTTGGGCCAGGGCGGGAGTCGCCGGGCTAGCAGCGTCTGGGTGTCGCTGGAGCTCCCGGGCACCAGCCAGTGTGGAGTGGGGTACACTCCCACTCCAGTGTGTTCACCAGCTTGTCTCTCCCTTCACTGGTGGGTTCTGCGGGGGACACATGGCCAGCCCACGATACGGGGCGGTGGCTGACGTTTCCAGTAGGAAGGACTTGGGCCACCACCAGCTCATACAACGTGTTCATGTAAATTAGGAAAAAAGCCCCCCTGAGGACCTTGACACCGCCACCTGCTGTGACATCTTGGCAGTGTTTCAGCCTGTGACCACCGAGGTGGACATGGACCCATGGGAACACGCAGGGCCCCGCCTGTACGCTGCACGCAGCGGCCTCGACTCACCGTGCCCCATCTCCGTCTGGGCGTATGTCCCCAGGATCTGGAACTTGCTGCAGAGTGGGTCCCACTTTGCAATCTGCTCCTCTGAGCCCAGGTTCCTGATGCTTTGCTGGAAGATGTAGTGTATGCCGAAGCCCAGATCTCCAGAAACACTTCTGCAGGGGAGAGACACAGTGGTTGAACAGCCCAGCAGAGAAAAGGGCCCCGGTACCCTCAGGCTGGCAGGGGGCAGGAGAGAAGGGGCACCTGACCCTGGTTTCCCAGGAAGCAGTACCTTTGGTACAAGAGCCGACTCACTGGAAAAGACTCTGATGCTGGGAAAGTTTGAGAGCAGGAGGAGAAAGGGGCAACAGAGGATGAGATGGTTGGATGGCATCACTGACTCAATGGACAGGGGTTTGCGCAAACTCCAGGAGATGGTGAAGGACAGGGAAGCCTGGTGTGCTGCAGTCCATGGGGTCGCAAAGAGTCAGACACGACTGAGTGACTGCACAATATCAACAACCACTATCTTTGCTGGGGAATGTAGCTCATGGGGTGGGTTTTCTGGGTGATCCCAGGTGGATTTGTCTCTGGTGGGGGCGCCCTGGGAGTGAGCACCTGGAAGCGTATTGTAATTCACGACTGCCGTGATACCAGCCCAGGCGCTGTGCTAGCATGAGGATGTGGAATTTCTTCTTAACGGCGGCTTCGTAACGTTCATTCTGGGTCATGAAATAATTATCCTTCAGGCTGAGCTCTGGTTCACCGTGGATGATGCTTTCTGTGAGAGGGGCAGGGAACAGAGAGCTTAGTGTCCTGGGTGAGGTTGCTGGTGCCTTCGCATCTTCCCATTCACTTGCCTCATGAGTATGGAAAGGAAGTCTGATGCCCCTGTGAGTTTACAGATGCAGTCAGTGAGGTCCTGAGATGGGGAAGCGACTCACCCAAAGCTGCGAAGCTATGCCGTGGAAGAATAAGGACCTCAGGGAATACTGACATGTTAAAGCTTCCTTCATAGTCCAAAGGGACGAATCTCTAATAGTGGAATTTTGAGAGTAGGATTTGTTATTTGAAGGTGTATACCATGTGCTAAGTCGCTTCAGAGAGTGTCCGACTCTGCGACCCCATGGACTGTAGCCTGCCAGGCTCCTCTGTCCATGGGGATTCTCCAGGCAAGAATGCTGCAGTGGGTTGCCACATCCTCCTCCAGGGGATCTTCCCTACCCAGGGACCGAACCTGTGTCTCCCACATCTCCCACACTGGCAGGCGGGTTCTTTACCACCCGGGCCACCTGGGAAGCCCATTTGAAGGTGGGACTGCTATGAAGAGACTCTCCTTCCAAGAATGCGCATGGGCGCACAGCCGGGGCTCCGTTCCCCAGCCTGCTCTTACCCACTTTCCTCCGGAGTGCGGTGTTCTGGGCACCTCCATCAAGGATGTTGGTGAGCTCCTCCACATTGAAGGATGGCGAGTGCCTCTCGCTCTCTATGTCGGGGTGCATGCTCCTGCTCCAGGCGTCCCCCGCTGACACTCGGGGCCCTGGACTGCCCACCATCGCCCGGCTCTGCCTGGTGTCTGAGGAGAGATGCTTCCAGCCCAGCTGTTCTGAGCCGTGGACTGCGCTGAGAAGCTGTGTGCAGCACGAACTGCTCAGGGCCAAGTGTCAGCTCAGCCTGCTTGGGAGGAAGGCAGGTTCCTTGACACGCTTGCGGGCCCCTTCTCCCGCACCCCGTCTCCTGGGGCCCTGGGCGGTGTGCTGGGCGCCGTCCAGCCAGCCTGCGGTCACTGCTCAGCACACAGTGCTGCCATCAGCTGCGTTCTAGCCAAGGTTCCGACAGGGTCTGAGGACACAACTGGGGTTCTGCCATTGCAGCTGGTGTTCTAAGCATTGCCTGGGGGGCGGGGGATTCTCAGAAAGCACCAGTGAAGGTCATGCATGAAGAAAATACACGTGAGGGAGGTGAGGTGTGTGGGCTGTAGCCACAGTGCTGCAGCCGACCAGGAACTGGGTGGTGTCCGGCCACAGAGCACATGCTCTGCTGATGCTACAGCCGCGGGCCGGGGGGGGGGGGGACAGTCTCACTGGGGGGGACCGGTGACCCCATTCACCGGCTCCCCTAGGTCCCAGGCTCAGCTGGCCCATCCCTGTGAGCCTGAAGGGGTACTGTGGAGCTGAGGGAGGAAGCTTGCCTCTTGGCGGTGACGTGTTGCCCCCAAACCCGGGAGTCCCCCACAGCCACGGTGGACCCTGCATCCTTCACAGCATCCCCTCGGCCTCTTAGAGCCCCTTTTTCTCAACAGCTCCCAGGTTGAGTCTGTCAGCCCCACTTGTTCCGACCGCCCGTCCCCTCTGCGAACCACCTGTGCCGCCCTCGCCTCGCACCTGTGGTCTCAGCGCCTCTTGCCCACTCTCCCCGCAGCCAGGGTGAGCTTTGACCCTGCAGTCGCCTGCTTGCCTCTCCTGCTGGCAGTCTGGCTCCGGGTGCTCACTGTTTGTGGACTGGAGTCCGTGCCCTCTGCATCTCACCACCTCTCACCTACATGCCCTTTGCCCCGTATCCACGCCTCCCCCCCCCGCCCTTTGCCCTCTGATCTTTCCCCCATGTTCCTGGTGAGCCCCAGCCTTCAGGGCCACCCTCTCCGCCTCCCTGATGGCTGGGCCCCCTGGGAGAACTGGGCCCCCTTTCAGTGCCCCCCCCCACCCCCGGCTGCTATTAGAGTCGACAATAAGGAAGAATTCCTTATTCATTGAAATGTCCCTCTCCCAAAGTGTGAGTGCCTGGGCAGCCAGCGCTGCTTTTCTGGGGTCCCCAGAGCCTAGCTCACAGGACGCATGCTGGGAAGCTTTCCCGCAGGTGGCCTCTGTGTTGATTCCCACTCTTCTTCACAGCCCTGCAGATACTCTGTTATTATCACTGTTTATTAGAGAGGGCAGGCGCCTTGGGAAGAGAGGAGACTTTGTAAGGTCATACAGTCACCTGTGTCAAATGGGGTTCATGCACAGACTGACAAACCGATACCCCTGAGTGGGGGCGTGGGGAGTGTCGCGGGGTGCAGACGAGGACCCAAAAGCTTCAAAGAACCCGGCATGTGCCGCCTGGCCCGTCCCCTCCGCCACTTTCTCCTGCACTCTGACTGCTGCGCGCTGTGCTCAGATGCACGCGGCCTCACCCCTCGCCCCTCCAGAGGCCAGGGCTGCGTCCTCCGCCCAGAACACTCTTGCCCGATGTCCTCACCGCTCCCTGCCTCCCTGGGCAGGCCCTCGCCCGGCGCCGCCTTGTCAGCGAGGCCCACCTGACTGCTGCCCCGTCCTCCAGCCTCCCCGCCTGTCACCCTGCTCTGGTTTCCTCCTCTTCCCTTATCCAACCTGCAAGATAATTTGCGCATTTACTGTTTTGTTGGTTTTGTTTGTTGCTGTCTCTACCTACTTCAAGTTAGGCTTTCAGTACAGGGCCGGGATCTCGGTCACATTCGAGCTGCGGCGCTCACACGTGGCTCCCAGGGAGCGTCCAGGAGCAGGCGGCCGGGGGAAGGACAGACTCAGAGTCCGTAGGGGTGGCGGCAAGCGCGCGGTCAGTCCCACGCCCTCTGGGCCCCGACTCACCTCTGTCCCACGCCTGCAGGGTAGGCCTGGCCCAGGCCTCTCAGCGCGGCTCGGCGGCCCCTGTCTCCTCCCCGTTAGGGGCTGGACCACAGAAGACAGGCGCTGGCTGGCAGGCTCCCAGCTCCCAGCTGCCCGCCTCCCTCTGCTGGGATGGCCGGGCTGTGCCTGGCCCGGGTCTGCCCTGGAGGATGGCTCAGAGGGTGTGAAGGGGGCCTCCCAGAACCTGGTCCTGGTCAAATGCACAGTTTCACTCTGTGTTAAAAAAAAAAAAAACACCACAGGTCCCACCCGGAGTCAAGAGACCAGGGTTCAAATCCTGGGGGCGTGCCTCTTGGGGGCCCACTTCTGTAAGTCCTTGCCCGTAACTGTAGCCCAGAGGATATGAAGGAAAGCTCTTTTTTTTTCTCTTTTTAAAAACAAATGTAAAAAGCTTTTATTTTTGGCGTGCTGGGACTTCGTTGCTTCCCGGGCTTTGTCGAGCTGTGGGGGTGGCGGCCACTCTCCAGCTGTGGTGCCTGGGCTTCTCTCTGTGGAGGCGTCTCTTGTTCCCAAGCACAGGCTCTAGGGTGCTTGGGCACAGTAGTTGCAGCACACAGGCTTAGTTGCTCTGCATGGGCCATGTTGGGCTTGCCAGGTAGCACTAGTGGTAGGGAACCTTCCTGCCAATGCAGAAGTTGTAAGGACATGGGTTTGATCCCTGGGTCGGGAAGATCCCCTGGAGGAGGGCATGACAATGCACTCCAGTATTCTTGCCTGGAGAATCGCATAGAATGAGGAGCCTGGCGGGCTCCAGTTCAAGGGGTCGCAAAGAGTCGAACACGACTGAAGCGACAGCACGCACGCACGCATGTGTGAACGTTCGGCTTGTACGGGATGCGCAGATTCGGTTATTTGTCAGTATTTATTTTTTAGAATCCACAGTGATCTGAGTGCTGGGCAGAGCAGGAAGCGCAAGCCACAGAAAACAAAACTATACTAGGGCCCTGCCCTTGGGAAGCTTCCAGGCTGGAGTCAGGGGCCTGCTGCAGGGACAGAGGATCCCATCAGGAATGGGCAGGTATGCCTAGCTGGATACTCACAGCCGCTTCTGATGAACTTATAACTTTTTGGACTTAGGACCTCCTTGCCTTCTCTCACCGCTGCCGCTGTTCCCAGGGAGTTCCTGCTTTGCCCATCTAGTTCTTGGTTTTCGGCTCACCACAGTGTCACACTCTTTGGGGAAGTCACTCTAGTCTGGATTAGAAGCTCCCGGGCTTGCTTTCTTAGCTCCAAGCTTTGGCGCCTTATGGTATAATAAAAGTTATAGATTCAGTCTTTGCCCTTGGTTCCTGGCAAAGAGCTCCTAAAAATCCTTGTCATCTCCTGAGTGATAGGATTGTCTTTTGTATCCTGGCTGCGGGCCCACATACAGCTTTGGGTTGGGCGGGGGGCTTTGCTGCCAGACAGACCGGGCCTTAATAACGCTAGGGCTGGGGCTCACAGTCCTTCCTGCTGCCCCCTCTCACCTCCTGGCTGGGAGAGATGCTGGAGACTGAAGCAGTCACCAGTGGTCGATGATAAGATCATTTATACCTGCATTGTGAAGCCTTGGTAAATATCCCTAAAACAGTGGGCTTCAGGGCGCTTCTGAGCTGGTGAGCACATGGAGGTGCTGGGAGCGTGGCCCCCCTGCCTCATCTCGTCCTGCCCCCCGCCTCGCCTCGTCCTGCCCCCACCCCCACAGTGGCTGTTCCTGAACTGGGTCCCTTGTAATAACCCCGCAAATGCAATTCAGGTGGTTTCCTGAATTCTGTGAGTCATTCTGGCAGGTTATTGAACCTCTGGGAGGGGGTCACGGGAACCCCTGAATTTACGTAAAGCTGGTAGGTCAGAAGTCCTGGTGCCCCCCTGGCATCTGCAGTTGTTGTCGGAAACAGGGGCAGTCTCACGGGACTGAGCCCTATGCCTGTAGGGTCTGCACTAACTCCCAGAGGCAATTTGAATTGAAATGTTTGGACATCCAGTGTTGGGGAATCAGAGAATTGGTTGTTGCTGGGTTGGGAAACCTCATGTTTGGTGTCACAAGTGGTGGTGGAAACAGACACCACACCCTTGGTATGAGTGGTGGCTGTTTTTTCTTTAATTACTGGTTTTTGTCTGAAGTATCAGTGAAAGCAAGGACTGTGTCTGCTCTGCTGTTGGTCCTGAACGCAGTCCCAGCCGCAGCCCAGGGCCTGCCCCGGGCTAGGTGCTCATCTAGTACTTCAGTAGCTCAGTCGTGCCCAACTGTCTGCGACCCCATGGATTGCAGCACGCCAGGCTTCCCTGTCCATCACCAGCTCCCAGAGCTTGCTCAAACTCATGTCCATCGAGTCCATGATGCCATCCAACCATCTCATCCTCTGTCATCCCCTTCTCCTCCTGCCTTCAGTCTTTCCTGGCATCAAGGTCTTTTCCAATGAGTCAGTTGTTCACATCAGGGGGCCAAAATATTGGAGTTTCAGCTTCAGCATCAGTCCTTGCAGTGAATATTCAGGACTGAATTCCTTGAGGATTGACTGGTTGGATCTCCTTGCAGTCCAAGGGACTCTCAAGAGTCTTCTCCAACACCACAGTTCAAAAGCATCAATTCTTTGGTGCTCAGCTTTCTTGATAGTCCAACTCTCACATCCATACATGACCACTGGAAAAACCATAGCTTTGACTAGATGGACCTTTGTTGGCAAAGTAATGTCTCTGCTTTTTAATCTGCTATCTAAGTTAGGCATAGCTTTGCTTCCAAGGAGCAAGCATCTTTTAATTTCATGGCTGCAGTCACTATCTGCAGCGATTTTGGAGCCCCCAAAAATAAAGTCTCTCACTGTTTCCATTGTTTTCCCATTTCTTTACTATGAAGTAGTGGGACTGGATTCCATGATCTTAGTTTTCTGAATGTTGAGCTTTAAGCCAACTTTTTCATTCTCCTCTTTTAC